CATTTAATAAATTCCCTATCCGCGAACTATAATTTTAAGTCTTGAAAAAAATTTGTAAACCTAATTAGTCAGGCTATATCAGTTCGTAAAAGACAATTTCTTTTCAATCCAGCCAAATATGAAGCCGTTTGTGGAGGGTCACTGGCTTTTGACGACTATTTGTTTGCATTGAATTTTCTTGTATTAAATTAATTTTTCATTCCTCGTTATGAATAGCTTCATAAATGGTTCATTTCATTACATATCTGCTGAATATCACCGCAGATAATGCGTTAACCAATTCCATGCTCCTTTTAAACCATTTCAAACTGTTTTGTGGTTATTATTGGTCATGTCGTGCGAACGGAAGAAGTGCTTCAGCTAAAAAGGTGTTTGATTCGGTACGCGCAGGTGAAAAATGCGATAGAGGACGTCTGCATCTTCTGTGGAAGGACCAGGTGACCAACAATTTGGGGACGCTCGGTACTACCAACTAGCGAGAACAAACAACTAATCGGGCTGATTGGCTGGCGGAGACAATGCGACGCGGCCAAAGACGACTCACAAAAACCCGCGGATGCATTTTTTATAACCCAATATATACTTTTATTCAAATGATATATAAAACAAACAATAGTTTAAAGAATAAATTTTAAGTTATCTATATTATTGTAAAGCAGTTTGTTTTATTATTTAGTTCAATTATATTGAGATTAAACTAATTAATCAAATATATCTGTTGGGATATAGGAAAAGAGTGAAATTTTATTTTATAAATATGTGCAACCCAAGGTTTCGATGGTTTGTAGCAACATCTTCAGGGGTAAGTAATAATCTTAGGTATATTATGCACATGTCTATAACATGTCATCTCTAATATCTCTTATGTTAATGTCTGTTATTATTATTAAAGTATAGAAAATCCAATGGATATTGATCCTAACTACAAATAAAATATTTGACGCGCCGCCTAAATTCAAATCCGCACCTGTAGTTAACACAATATATTCCTGCGGTAAAATTAATTTTTATTTAAACACAAACAAATTTTTTTGATAAAAAAAACTTTGTATATTTTAAGAACCAAAATCCAGTGGTAATATAATTATATAGTTTTATTACAATTACAATAAATATGAAAAAATCTACTTTTATAATATAATTTCCAAAAAAACATGCACTTATTACACTAACAATTAACATTGAATAAATAAAGTAATAAAAACAAAGTAAATAGATTTTTTTTGTAGGCAAATAGATTTTGTCTACTTAATAATATAAAAAAAATTGCTATTCGTTCTATTATTATTATTTATCACTAATTCCATAATATGGTATATATTTTAAAATTGTATTATTAAATTAAATTTAGTAACTGATGCATTAATTTCAATTGAATATTGATGGAATTGGATGGAATATGAATGGAATTTTATTCAAAGTTGGGTTTAAGTTTTTATCAGAAGTCTCTCTTTTTAAACTATTATTTTTCTCTTTTGGATTTAAAATTGTGATTTAGCTCTTCTCTGAAGATCTTTCGTTATTGTATAAAGTTTGTCCAATATCGAAACACTATTCTCCTTAATTTGATTTTGATTTGAAATTCCATTTTGTCTCTTATCCGGAGATCTTTCGTTTTCATATACTATAAACGCAGTGTTCAAATTAACAATCCGTTTCTTACTAATGCGGTTTGGAAGATCATAATCTATTTTTAACAATATTATGTCGTTTTTCGGTATCGTTTCGTTTAGGCTTTTCACAGAAGTCCTTTTATTTGATGTGAAAGAATTGTTCAAACTATTATTTTCATTTTCTTGATCTAAAATCACATTTGATCTCTTTCCAGGAGTCTTTTCATGCCTTCCAAAAGATTTATTTAAAATTAAATTGCTATTTTCATTAATTTGTTTTGAATCCAAAATTGCATTTAAACTCTTTGTTGAAGTTTTTTCATTTGCGTCTATTATATAAATCGTATTGAATCCATTTGGTAAAATGTCTGGAGGTGGACCACAATCTGCTAATAATAATATTAATTCAGTTTTCGTTATTTTTCGCGTTTTAGACAATTTTCTTTTCTGATTCAATAATAACCTATTACATTTATCAGCATTTTCTTCTTTAATTTCGTCATTGCCATGACTATTTAAATCGAAAGCATCACACATTTTACGTATTGATGAAGTAGCCAGTGTGTGAGTTTTAAATATTATGCCTACTGATCCTTTTTGCGTCATATTTGTATTTAAATTATTGTTAGTCTATTATCAAAATTTTAATTGATTTTATTAGTTCCGTAATGATCATTTAAAAAAAATATAATTACAAGGTTATATCACTATCTCTTCGAATTTTACATAAACCTGGATTCGAACAATTCATTGGAAGCCTAACTTAGTGTTGTAAAACACTTTATAACACAATATAACATATAATAAAATATATATAATATATAACATAAGATATTAATTTTTTTTACTTTTTCAATATTATTCATGTCAGTCCGATTTGAATAAAAAATATTAAAGAGAGGTTTTGAAAAATAGTAAATTAAAACCAAAATACTCGATACAACGTTGTATGATCAGTCTTTTTTAATAAATAATAAATTTTAATAAATTATCTAAATTTTTGTTATTGTTCTTTCATTTCTATTCGAAGCCTTCTAACTTTTGTTATAAGACGTGTTACTCCTGGCAAGAAAAAATAAACCTTAAAATACTTTTCATTATTTTAGTTAATTGAATTTTTGCGTGGCCATACAGTTGTTTCGAGTATTATCAATTTTTCGTCATCAGTGATCCATCAGCCGATTTTATAGCCAACCCACAGCTGTACTTGACTTATATATTCAAACTTTAAGTTTTGCTAATTGCTGTGAAAGTTCATTACTATATTGACTTGTTGTGATATATTATAACATAATCATAAATTATTTAAAGATTTTTTTTAAATTAGAAAAAAAATAAAATAAAATCAACTAAAAATTAATTATAATTATATTTTGGTACTACTTAATTTATTAACATTAAAAATGTTTACAAAATTAAAAACAAAAATACAATTAATTAAATCAATTATTCTACAGCTGATTTATGATTTCGTTCTAATGTAACACATCACGTGAATTTGTTAACTAACTTTCACAGCAAATTAACAGAACTCCAAGTTTGAATATAAAAGTCAAGTAGAGCTTTGGGTCGGCTATAAAATCGGCTAATAAACACTGACTCTGAGCTTCAAATTTGGCAGAGCACAAGTTCAAGCCTTGATACCTGTAGTCGCAAAAAATCATTTAAGAATAATTAAATATAAGAAATAATTCCATGACCATTGATGATAGGTATTTGGCAATACTTGAAGCAGCTGTTTTATTTTTGTTTTTTTGTTGTGATGAGAAGGTGGAATTCTGTATGCACCGTCAAATCGATTGTTTGACTCCCTACGACTTGACTCCGACTCCCTAACATTAATGGGTAGTATGCGGACTAAAATGCCCCCTATTCGACTAGACTTGAACCGCTTACGCATTACTTTTAGGAGGATTTCTTTTATGTTGGTATTTAAGTAATGCTCTTGTGATTTTCGATATGCGTCCAGACCTCCACTTTTTCACCATATTTTTTTGGTGTCTCCACTATTTATTATTCTGGTTTCTAATTCTCCTTTTTATGTCTAATTTCTTAGTTTTGAGAACTTAAATCACATATCACTCTATTATTGACTCTCTGGATTCGGTCTAATCTTTTCCACTATATTTTAGGGATTTATTGGTCCAAAATTGGCCAAAAAGTCAATTAATTATTAAATAATAAAATTTTACTGTTGTAAATTACTACTGTTTAAAATACTTTTCTATTGAAAATAAAAGTTTATATCAAGAATTTAGAGTCTTTAGGCAAAACGAAGGCAAAAAATCAATTTAATAAAATAAATAATACATATTATATTAATAAAATAATAAATAAAATAATAATAAATAAGAATCATAAAGTAATAATGAAATTAAAGATATTTTTTACAAAATTAAATTATTTTGAAAGAAAGAGATTCCGCCATCCCAAACAATTCTCTTTTACGTTATAAGAAAATGTCTTTCCAAATGCTTCCCCTATAACAAACGAAGAGAAAAAATTGTTCTCCAAAATCTCAACCGAAACACTTTAGTGCCTTTGCGGAGGCTCTTAATTTCGACTGGAAGCTTTGGCTATAAAAGCCAACATGTGAATAAGAATTTACTCAGTTCAATGGCGGCAAGGATTTGGTAAACGTGGAAAAATTGAGTTCCAAATAAATGAAAACTTTTCGAAAGAATTAAATACGAAAATTGGCTTACGGAGGCTTTCACGCATTCTGCTTTTATGTGTGTTTTATTTCAAAATATATATTAAAAAAAATACAATAAGAAATTTATGAAGTGTAATTTATTAAGTTTCTGTGAAGGCAGGAAAGTAAAATATATAGGAGAAAAAATTAAAAGATTTAAAATGATAAATTAAGAATTGAAAATTATATTTGAAAAAAATCAACATTACTGGTTTCTAGTAACAAAAACAAAATTTCTGTAAAATTATATTAAAAATAAAATCAAAAAAAAATGTTTAAGTAAATTGTGTTATTATATTCAAAAATTAAAAATTCATTTAATAAAAAATTTGAAATATTAATTTTTAAAAAATTATATAAAAATAAAATATTATAGAAGCAGTAAAAATAATATAATTCAACTAATATTAAAATATAAAATATTTATAAAACAATAAGAAGCGTAAACTTAAGTAAATTCTAAAATAAATTCAGAATACCCACAATATAAATAAATGCCAATATAATATTAAAAAAATAAATAAAAAGTTTTTCAAAAAAAAATATATATATAAAGTTAACAAACAATAAAATTAACTAATTGTCTTTTTAGTAAAATAAATAAAATCTTTAATGATTTATTTAAAGTGAATTTCGCTAAATACTTCCGCGAAAATACTTTAAAATTTTTCGATTTATATTAGTATTTGCTATGTACGATTATGTGTTAAAATTATTAAACAATATGAATGCAACAATAACAACAGCTACAGCAATATTAAGCAATAATGCAGAGACAACACCAACATCTCCAGAGTTCTCTAATAGTTCCACGATATTGCCACCGACTAAATATGCTCAACTGAATTCATTCAATTCCAGCGTTAAGACTTTCTTCAATAAGACGATAGCAAAAGTAGCTACGACTAATCTGAGCGATTACACGGCGCAATATTCCTTACCGCCTTTAATTTCCAGCGATGGCGCTGCAGCAACGGCAGCAGATGTGGCAGCCACTTTAATGCCACCGACGCGTCATATTGCGTCGAGCACCTTTCCCACTCAAACTGTGGCCACATTCATTGCAGGAAATAAAAATCGTGCTACAACGATCATAGTGTATCCTACAGGTAAGTGCGAGGAAAGAAGTGTGTAACATTAACTCAATAAAAAACAAAAAAAAAGAACAAATAACAAATTATATATCAACTGGGAATATCCTAGTTTCCTTTTCTCATTTATGTGCTTCTTGTTTTTTCTTCGTCCTGGTTTCATACTGTCTGCGACACATATTTTCAAGGACACTTGGGAGATGTAAAAACACTTCAAAACACATAATCCCCAAGAATTTGAAGTGTTTTGCATTTTTATTTGAAATATTTTTCAATTTTTTTTTTGTTGGTTATTCTTTCGTATGACTTAAACAAAATTAAATTTTTAATTATGAATTTAATTATGAATATAATTTTGAATTTTGTTGGGAAACACAATTAGAAATTAAAAATATAACAAAAACAAGTTTGTTAAATATATATATATGGTATATTAAATTTAATTTTGGAACTATTTTATTAATATAAAATTTTTTCCTAATATAAGCTGTTTTTTTATTAGAAAGATTTTTGAATAGTAGTAAAAACCTAATATATAAATATTTTTATTAATAGAAAACTTAAGTATAATTTTTAATTAAGAACTTTATGTCTTAGTAGTAGTGAGAAACAAATTATATAAATATTAATTTTAAATATAAAAACTTAAATAAAATTTTTAATTAAGAATTTTTTCTTAGTAGTAGTGAGCAACAAATTATATAAATATTAATTTTAAATAAAAAAAATTTAATTAAATATCTTTGAATAACATATAAATATTAATTTTAAATTAAAAAAACTTAAGTAAAATGTAAAATTAAGAACTTATCAAAAAAAAATTAATTGGAATGGAAAATGTCAATAATAAAAAGAAAATGTTTTATTAATTTAAAATAAATTGTTTATAATCAGAGAGGTTTTGGAAAGGTATGAACTATAAAAACAAAAATTATTTTAATGTTTATTTAACTTAATTTAATTTAAATTAACAATTAAAAAATAAAAATATAAATAAATAATTCAATTATTCTACAGCTGACCATAGCAAATAAATTTGTTAATGAATTTTCACAACAAATTAAAAAACTGCAAGTTTAAACATACAAGTCAAATACGATTTTGGGTCAGTTGGCTAATAAACACTGACTCTAAGCTTCAAATTTGGCAGGGCACGAGTTTAACCCTTGGTACTTGCAGTCACAAAAAAATTATTTACGAATAATTAAATATATGAGATGTTTCTACGACCACTGATGATAAGTATTTGGCAATACTCGAAACAGACGCATGGTTAATTTCTAACAATTTCTAAAAGATTTTTTGTCTTTATTATTTTTTAAGTCTTTATTAATAAAAATAAATAAAAATTTTTTTTTATTAATTAGAATTTACTTTAATGTAAAACAAAAATTTATTTTAATATAATGTGAAAATTTGAAAATAAATAATTCCCTAATATTTATATATATACATTTATACCTACATATATTAATTATATAGATATATGCAACATATATCAATATATATTACTTTACCTTATACAGTCAAACTTCCATAACTCAAACTTCTATAACTCGAATTTTTTATAACTCGGGCCAAAAACAGTGCACCAAGGTTTTAGAGAGCAAATCACATATAATTCTGCTTCCATAAACCGAACTTCTGTATAACTCGAACAGAAATTTTGTTCCGTGCTAATAGGAATACGAGAAAGTGCATGCTATAAGTTGAATTTTTTTTTTAAGTATGAATCATTTTGCTGTTAGGGGAAGTCCCTTTTTCCAAACCAAATGTTTAATTTTTTCTTTCTTATGTTGCTTCCTGGTGCAAATGCCAGTCGCTGGCAATGTGATTTAAAATAAATAAAATAACTTCCAAAGCTACTCTTAACTATTATATCGAGCTTGACAATAAAATTTTGCACATCAAGGTTTCCTGCAGATGATAATATTATTGAGCACAATAGCTCTAAATTGTTGGATTCAATTCTAAGCGCAACGGAATGTGATGATGAGGGTTCGGTGGATGTAATTGTTTATCAGCCTTCCCAGAATGAAGTAGAAGACTCATTAAAAATTATGAATTTATATTTGTAAACGAATGATAATACAACTGATGATCACTATAAGACTATGAATAAAGTGGAATCGCTTTTTATTGGAAATAAGAATAAAATTAAGGTCCCAAATTCTAATTTTCGAATATTTTACTTCACTATAAATTCTGTGCTTTATTTGATTGCAAATAAATAAATATCTTAATATGTCATTTTTGTTTCTTTCAAAAATAAAAAAAAAATAAAAAATTCTCTAACTCGAAGTCTCCATAAGTCGACCCTTTTCTTTGCAAAATTGGACTTCGAGTTAAGGAAGTTTGACTGTACTTGTATAAAAGTATTTAGTAACTAAATACATATTAGTATGAGTGTAAATATTTTTTATCCGCTAAGTTTTCTTTAAAATTTAATTTCAATTTATTTTTAATTAAACATTTTTCACTTAGTTTTAAATTAATTACTTTGTATATATATATATGTATATTTGTTTTACATTGAGCTTACATTGCGTATGAGTTATATTATTTTCACTGCGGATATATGTTTATAATATACATTGTATTAAATATTCATTTGACTTATTCAAATGTGATTTATTTTTAAATATATATATATTATATGAAGTCACTAATACAATACAAATCTCAATATTTATATTTATATTAACATTTATAAAAGTCTTAAATAAACAAACTAAGTGCACACTTATCAAGAAAATTTATTGAAGTGAAGAAAATTACTGCAATTATACAAAATTTATTGGTTTTGTTTATGATGTATGCCATTCAAAATTTATTTCCAATTTATTATTATTGTTTTACATACGGATATATTTTTATTTATTTTTATAAATCTATTTTTATAACATTTTTTGTTTGTCTTATATTGAATTTTGTTTATTTTATGGTCTATTGTATCATTTTCTTGACCTACAAAATTCCAGTATTTAAGTTTGATTTTCTTAAATGTTTTCCTTTTGTTTGCTTATTTCTGATATTATTTTTTTTGTTTTTGTTTTTTCCTGTAATTTATATTTAGCTACGAAAATAACGTAATGTGAATGAATATCTGTCAATCTGTCAGTTCAAAAGTAATGGCTACTTAGCAAAACAATCAATTACATATTTTACATATTTATTATAGTGGAAAAGAATTTCTGTTATACATATATTAATATCATATATCGAATCAGACATTAATATATGCATATATAGATTGTCAGTTTCACAAATAAGCAGTAAAATCAGTTGAAAAGTAGTGTGTTTGCGTTTACTTATGTAGGTTAAAAACAATAATATAACTATATAATATATAGAATTAAATTTAAAAATTAACAATATTAACAGTAACGTTTATATAAAAATGGCCAAAGAGGCATTTCAGGTCAAAAACTTTAGATAAAAAACAACACTCGATGTGTCGAAAATGACCCACCTACTACTTTTTTTATCAAAACAAACCTCCAATGTGTCAGAAATTGCATATCTACTGATTTTTAATCAAAAAATCCAATCTATTAACTATGCTTTTTTATCAAAAATATGTCAATGGGACAAAAGTAACCCACCTATTGCTTTTTTATCAAAAACAAATTCAATATCTCAAAATGGATCTTTTTTTAAGAAAACATCAGTAAGTAACTCACTTCAAAGACCAGTTGCAGGAAAACTGATAAGATAAGAATTAATAATTCCAATAGAATTAATAGATTCAACAGTTATTGAATCCCAACTTCTTAGATAGCTTTAACTGCTTAAAGGGTACAACAAACTCTGTATTCTTATACTGTAATTCCAGGTCTTAAAGACACATTAAATTTAATCCATTCTTACACGGCTTCAAATAGTTAGAGCTTAACAAACTTTATAAAGCAAATTACAATTATTAAATCCCAATATATTGAATTCAATAATAAGAAGATTATCTTTATTATAACGTTTGTAGTATAATACTCTTTTTTATACCTAACAGATTTCATATAGACCAATGTTTTTTAACATGTGACGGCCATGATAGGAACCTGATAGTAAAGGTAACAATTTCAAATTGGACTTTTATGCAAATTACCGTCTTATTTTAAGAGTCACAGGGAAAGGAACCAATTTTAATAGTTAGGTTAAGTTAGTTAGGAGAGGCGCCCTTGAATACTAAAGCCAACTGGAGCTCAAATAATAGTCCATTATGATACCACGAAAAATTGACAGTTACGGAGTGTAGTTGGACTTGTACGCAAACTAAATCTATTAATTCTGGAACCCAGTAATTTCAGTTTTATGTTTTCTTGAAGTTTGAAGAGGAGTTTGCAAATATTGGGGTATTTAGGAGCTCAAATAATAGTCCGTTATGATACCACGAAAATTTGACAGTTACGGAGTGTAGTTGGGCTTGTACGTAAACTAAATCTATTAATTCTGAAACTCAGTAGTTTCAGTGTTATGTTTTCTTGAAGTTTGAAGAGGTGTTTATACGTTCATTACCATACTATGTAACACGAATAAATTATTAAGAATAGTAGCAAATAATTAAAGATATTTTTTCTTGCCCATAGTCTCATTTCGAAAATAATTCTAGCGAGAATAGGCTGAATTTTCAAAAGTCTAACACGATAAAGTCTAGCTATCACTATATATATTCCACCTCCTCACCACAAAAACAAAACAAAAACATAATGGGCTCTAAAGTACTACAAAAATGGTTGAGAAACAATTATATATATTGATAAATGAAAAGCATCACTTAAGACTGACACAACTTTAAAGGAAAGTCAAATATGGTATTCACTATAATCTCCATAAACTGAATTCTTATTAAAATTTATATTTTTATTAAAGAAGTATGTGTTTTTAACTCTATGAATTTATTTTTCAATCGATATAAAAATAATAATATTACATGAGGAAATTTATTTTTTACTTTTTTTCTTAGAATAGTTTATTATTTGCATAAAACTTTTATTATTGAAAATCTAATAAAAAAGAAT